AAAGTCATTGCTGTCATTACTAGTGAGCAGATGCAGTTAGAATGAAATTAACTGCTTGCAAGTTGTCGGAGGTGAGTGGCCAAAGGTCATTCACCAGAGAGAGAGGTGGTAGATGGAAGTACTGGTCCTGACTCACTACAGAGGATGAGATGAAAAAAAGTGAAGAAGAATCATGTGCAAAGAAGAATTATATCCTGAACGCACGTCACTACACTGGGAGATCATGTGCGAAGTAATGATACATTCTTTAGGAAATAAATGTATATGTATAACTAAAGATAACCACACTTCAGAAGATGAAATATCAATATCTTAACCAAGCTAAGTTTCAAGGTAGCACATAAACGTACTAAAATACGAAGAAAATTACATAACAAACTAGACATGAAAGACTAAATGTATAAACAATGTAAACATAACATAGAAGTAAAAAACAAAACTGAAATTTACAAACCAAAAATGATAGAATAAAATATTATTAGGTGTTGAACCAAATTTTAACCATAAAAATCTAGAAGTGGAGCTTTCTCCTTGGCTTGATTGGCAGGAAGACCACCCCCAAGGAATTTGTATGAGAAGCTCATCCACGTTCGAACCCCAGGCCCGAGTAGAAATGAACGTTGACTCTCTATGCTTCATTAAGTTGAAAAAGTATATATGACCAGATACTACTTTGTAACAGAGTCAAAAGTACTCAAAAACTTGGAAGTAAATAAGAAGTAGAAACATAATTTAAAGACGACACAAAAAGAAAGTAAAACACTATGACATAAAATTGAAAGAGAAGAAAGAGTATTTTAAATTTAGGACTACTAATTACACCTACTACAGTGTCCCAAACGGACCCATAACCATTGGCCCTCCCCTCCCACAAAAACAAAAAAATGAAGAAATCAATTAAAAACAAACAAAATATGGGAAGTCAAAAGAGATTAAAAAAAAAAGACGAAATCCTACTAAATGGATGACTACGACTGTAACGATGCTTTCGGCAACAAACGACCAGGTGGCGGCAAATCTCCTTCCCTCTGGCAGCAGATATAATTTGGCCATGGGTTAGGGTTTTCAAATCAAGATCTTGTGATCTTTTACTCTTGTTGCTAGACGATTTAATACTAGTGATGGAAATGATATAGACCTAAATGATGTCGAAGGGAGGTGTTCAGTTGGAATTAGATACTTCCAAACGTAAGAATATTTCTAAGAGTTCGATCCAATTCAGAATTTGATTCGGTTCCACTAGACCACTACACTAAAAGTTTCCAATTAGGGTGAAGCAGGCCATAGATGATTCACACAACTAAATCTATTTTTCTTAAAAGTGCACACAATGTTAAAAGTTAAAACAAAACTCACTTAGGTAGACCTAACATTATGCAAATAATATTATAAGAAATGTGAATCTGTTTTCTCCTAAACTAAGTTGCACTTTCAGATTTACCATAACCTTGGTGAAGCTCAATCAAATAGAACATTATAGTTTTCCATACAAGAAAAACAAACTATCATGCGGTGAACAAAATTCACATTTTTTTTCATTTTAGTGAATACATCTATAAGAGTCTAGTTATGCAGATGCATGCAATTAGAGAGGGCTTATATAAAACACAAAGATACTACACCTGATTCTTGCAATAACTGCCACAAGGGCAGTATCCAGGTGTGCATTCAGTGCTGGTTAATACATTCAAGCACCCTTCTCCACATGCACTTTCAGGATCACTCTGTTCGTACTTGCATATGCAAATAGCAAGATCCTCTTCTTTAATTTTTTTAGTTCTGTAATGTATCAAAAGAACCTGAATTAAAACCATGCTACAGAGGAGAGCCATTAAATAACCCAAAACAATAATTTTTCAACCCAGTGGTGGGCCACCACAATTGGTGGGGTAAGGTCCCAAGAGAACTGATTGACATGTTCAAAGTCATGCAAAAATGAATTGATGTAAATAAGGGATTGCAGATGCTCTTGAACTCTTTGAACATTAGTGTTAGAATATAAAAACCTTTCTTAGGCCTACAACCACAAGCTTAAGCTTTTTTGGTGGAGTTGGTTTCAAGGAACCAACTCAACCAAAAGCTTAATCTTGTGGTTGTAGGCCTATGAAAGGTTTTTATATTCTAAAATGCCCCCTCACGTGCAAGCGTGGTCACTTTGAGCCTTGCACGTGAAACTTTAATTTTTTAAATTGGGTGGGAGTGAGTTTTGAACTCGTGACCTCTTGGTCATCAAGGCTCTCATACCATGTCAAGGAACCAACACAACTAAAAGCTTAAGCTTGTGGTTGTAGGCCCAGATTTTTTATACTCTAATACGCCCACTCACGTGCAGGCAAGATTTGTTTTTTTGCTCGAGTCTTACACGTGAAAATTAAATTTTTTAAAAGTGGGTGAGGGTGAGTTTTGAAATCGTGAGGCTCTAATACCATGTCAAGAAACTAACTCAACCAAAAGCTTAAGCTTGTGATTGTAGGCCTATGAAAGGTTTTTATATTCTAACAATTAGCAATCAGCACACTCGCCAAAAGTGAATGAAAAAAAAGAGGGATTTAGTTGTTCTCATCAGAATATCAAGTAAATCTACATAAGGCGAAACAATAGTAGTTGGTGAATCGATGATGTGAAATCCCGATCAATTTAGGGTCATTTTAATGCAAGGAATTCTCACAAGAATATATTTCCAAAGGAGAAGTCAAACATAGTTTATGTTTGGATGCTTGCGGTAAAATTTAGCTTGACATAATAATTCTAGTTGAACAAAAAAGTTGAAGAATCATGGGAGGACTTAATTTTATGTAGCAGTGTAAGTGTCACATCTGAATTTGGACAAGAGCATGGTAATGGATAGAAGGAAATGGCGAGAGACCATTTTTGTGAGTGACCAGATGTGCTTCTCTTCCTAGTTCATGTAGCCAACCTCAAGTTACTAGGGGTAAGGCTTTGTTGTTGTTGTTGTATAAGTGTGTAAATCAATGCGTAACAGATAGTGCAAAACATACATCTTTTTCACCTAGTAGTCCTGAAATTCTTCATATGTCATCCTAGGCTGCCAGTAGTGAATAAGGCACTATAAGCAGCTGAGCACTGAGATGGCAGCTGGGTGACAACCAATTTTTGTTATGATCGATTTTGTTTTTGTGAGACTATCAAGAGAAGTTCCACCATAAATCGATGTCTCAACCTCATGACATATCGCATGTAGATGAAGTGCCTTACAATTTGAATGGCAGGCATATGACATATCCTAATAATGGAGGATAACTCCTTCAAGCCTATAGAGAGAGGGAGCACCAGAGCAAAATAGCCAACAAGAGAAATATTGTCTTGTTGTCAAGGCTCAAGCCAAAACATATTCAACATAACAACATCAAGGACAAAACTCTTAAAAACATTCCCAACACCAAGAATATTTGAATGGCTCCTTCCAATAATCTCAAAGCGATGTCTGTCATTCAATTGAACATACATGTGGCATTGTTGGAATCTGCCTTGTCTGCATAATATGCTGATCACATCATCACAACACATATGCTTTGAAATGAGGTAAAGGATTCAAATTCCCAAGTCAGTTCAAAATCATGATATGAAAAGTTCATGTGTTTTAAAGGATCCACTGCCACAGCCACAACTTCAACTAATGTTCTAGTTCAAGTTACCACAGCCTCACTAGTTACAATCTGAACTTGCTTGGACAATTGACTCATGTTGAAGCCCAGCAACATTACACATGTCACAAAGAGTTTGGTGTGCTCTGTGATCGCGTGTAGTGTTTGAAGTTTTAAAAGTACTTGGTGAATATCAGAATAGTGTTTAAAATACTCAGTGAGCCCGAGTGTTTCAATACCCAGTAAGTATTGCTCAAAGAGAATCAATAAGGTGTGTTCTATTTTACAAGCTCAAGTAAGCCTTAGCTCTAGGGGAGTGTTGTATATTAAGTTTGTTACAAATGTAATTGCCGACTTCTTATATATGGTGTCATCTTAGTGGTACGACGACATCACCCATAGCTCTAATGATATCACTCTTAGCTAAAAGGTTCCTACTTTTTCACGTTTTCCTCCTACTTATCCAACCATTACCATGCATACGTATTGCATCAGAAAGATAAATTGTGTAATGATAAACTTATGTAGACTATGTTTCAAAAGGTATTGACATTTTAAAGTTGAATTCTTTATTATTTACACTAACAATTCTTGTTAGAAATCTTTTATACACTACTACTCCAGATTAAAGTGCTTTCCATCATCTCCGATGGAGCCAAAATTTCACCATTTTTTGGCTTTGGGGTGTGATGGAATAAATCAAAATGGATCTCTAAACTATCTGCGCTTCTTTAATTAATGAAGTAGCAGTTAGTCAATCAATGCAACTTTCGACGTTGAGCTGGGGGTCTCTTTGGAAACAGCCTCTCTACTTTCAAGTAGGGGCAAGGTCTGCGTACACACACCCTCCCCAGACCCTACTCTTGTGGGATTTAACTGGGTTGTTGTTGTTGTTGTTGTACTACAGATTAAAGTGACAACATAAATATATAAAGAATATAAGATTCAAGAGAACGAGTCAGAACAGAGTTAAAAGAATATTACAAAAAAATCAGAGCATAACTAAGCAAAGGAATTGGGATCCTCATTAGATATACCATGAAGGAAATTATTAAAAAGTACAAGCATGATTAACTTACTTCCTCCCTAAGAAATCATTCTGATTGATATGTATAAATGGTGGCACTCCATCAGGCAGTTTGAGCTTCAAGGAAAACAAACTATTACATTTTCATTAGAGATGCAAAGAAGAATAAGGTACTAAGCTATACATTGGATGTCCAGTTCAGAAAACAGCGATAGTAGAGATTGTCTGTGAAGAAGGAACAAGCCGAACCTGCGAGAGATCGGGTGCGGAACACTGCATATGGTTCAGGCAGGCTAGCAGTTAAAATTACGCCGATCACCGCTCATCGGTTGCCGTGCGCGGTTGGGGGGAGGGGCGGGGAGGTAATGCCTGGTTTTTTGAACATTTCTAAGCTAACACCAACATTTTAGTGCTTTACATCGACATAAAATGTGGATGTGTTAACAAAAATTTACACTGACGCAAAGTGTTAGTGCGTTACCAAAACTTAGCATTACACCTGATAGTGTAAATTACTTGACCGGTCAAACTATACTAGACCGGATCTAGAATAGTTCGCTTGATTTGGCAAAGTAAGAAAGGTAAAAACACGCAAATTGACCGGTAGGACTTTAGGTGGAACACCTGTAGCCCAATTTATCTTATAACGGAGAATGCACGGGTGCTTTTACAAGGGAGTTTAGAGAGAATGAATTCCCCCCCCATTCGAGGGTTACAAGAGGTATATATACTAGGCTGGGGAGCAGGACCACGTGCGCCCACGTGGGGGCATACTGCTGGCGTGGTGTGAAGTGACTGGCTCTGAGCTGCCTTGTCATCTTGCGCGGGGGGTGGCACCCTTGTCGCGTTCTGGTTTGGAAATATTCCCTCAGCATCCTTGCAATTCCAAACACTACAGTCCAAGTCCTTTTGGATTCCTCTTGCCGACACTTCCCCAATCTCTAGGAACTACGCCGGTTGGTTCTTGCAGGTTGGCGTGGCCATCTTTGTAGGGTGAATTAGTCGCCGGTATAGTTTGACCGGTATACTATCCGAAGTATACCGGTCAACCTTTTGGTCAACCAGTCATCCCTTCGCCGACGATCTAGACCTCTCTTGCAAGTTTGACTTCTTTGACCGGTCAACTATCCGGTCTTGACCTTTGACCGGTCATGGGTGAAATACACCCATCATCAAGCCCTCCACTTCTCCGTTATGCAATTTTGTCATAAGCGGGAAGTAAAAACTTAAAACTGGACCTTTAAATTTGAATTTTTGGCTTTTCCCGCTCGAAATTTTTGAATTTCAAAATTCAAAGTGTCGGTTATGACACGTGTTGCCCGCTGGACGGCGTCAGACCTGCGCCCTTTCGTCTTCCCAGGTGCAATGATGGCGCCGCCTGACGCAGCGCGCCCTGGTGAAGCCACGTCGCCTCCCTCTCTCTTCCTCGCCTATATAAAGGCTTCCATCCCCACTGCCTTCCTCGCGCGTTTCTCGAGTCTCACCGGTCAACTTCTCTCTCCTGTTCTTGCCTCCTAGCCCTCCGAGTCAAGTAAGCTTTCTTCCTATCATTTATTAGCTTTCTTTCTTCATTTTTTCTCCCGGTAGATGTCTTCCTCTGATAGTCAAGGTATTTCTTCCACGGATGCCTGCGCATCCGAGGAATCTTCAACCTCCTCTTCTTCGACCGGGTCCTCTTTGTCCAGTTTCGAGACCCGGTCAGGCCCCAACGCCACCGTCCCTGAACCGCAACCTGTTAACCAGACGCCCGGTCAGGTTTCTCAGGAGAGGGATGAACCGGTTGACGACGAACCGGCTCCCTATGACCCTGACAGCGAGTCGTACGAGGGGTGGGTGAACCGGCTGGATGCCGCCGGTTATTTTCCTCTCCCTTCCAGCTACCCGCTTGACATCTACCCCCGGGTCTCTAAGATTGCCCAGAACAAAGCCCGTAGGAATCTCCCGGAGGGGTATGTCCTTGAATACGACCCTAACTGGCGCAATATCATCGAGCCTCACCGGGACGATAGGGTAGGATTCCATATC